GGGGCTGTGCTTCACTCTGCCCCCTGGGTTCTGGACTAACACTAGCATCAAAAGGGGGGTTAGACCAAGGCAATGGGCTTGGAGACCCGGCTAGCTGGGCCTCAGTGGTCCTGGGATAAGGAGACAGAGGCTGGGGACACTCCCCATCTTCAGTCACCAAGGCCAACCTGGTTCCCTTTCTTGGCTCATCTTAGTAAACACGTTTAGGCTCCGGTCCAGACTGGTAGCTCTAACACAGCAGCCAGTCCTCTGGGGCCAGGTGGGGGTTCTGGAGTCCGTGGCTTAACTGCCCAACTGAGGACGAGTCCCTCCCTCCCTCCCCGAGCCAGTCAGCAGCTCATCCTGCTCAGGGATTGATTTCCCCAGCAGGAAGGAGCCAGCGTGGAGCCTGTTCCGTTAGTTTGGGGAACTGTAAAGAGCCTAGGACTCAGTCACATGGGCCTAGGTCCCGGACACGCTTTACTATTGGTTGTGACCGCAGGCCTGGCACTAAGGCAGCCGTTCTCAACCTGTGGGTCGCGACCCCTTTGGGGGTTGAACGACCCTTTCACATGGGTCGCCTAAGACCATCGGAAAACACATAGATAATTACATATTGTTTTTGTGATTAATCACTATGCTTTAATTATGTTCAATTTGTAACAATGAAAATACATCCTGCATATCAGATATTTACATGACGATTCATAACAGTAGCAAAATTACAGTTATGAAGTAACAACGAAAATAATTTTATGGTTGGGGGTCACCACAACATGAGGAACTGTATTAAAGGGGCACGGCATTAGGAAGGTTGAGAACCACTGCACTAAGGGCTCCTGAAGCATCAGCTTGTAAAGCCAGAGCTGACGAGGCTAATTTGAGGATAATAGTACCGGCCCCGGCTAACTCAGGGTTGTTGTGAGGCTCAAATTTACTCATTCATTCACAAGTATTTACTGTCTACTTCATGCCTGGGGCTAAGGTCTAGGGATGTAGCAGTGAAGGTAACATAAAAAAATCCCTGCTCCAGTGGAACTTACATTTTAGAAGGGGAAGATAAACGTGAACAATTAAGTAATCAGAATATATATGCAGACAGGATAAGTGCTACAGATACAAGTCAAGTGAGGAGATAGGGATGCTGCGGGTGAGCTGGATTTTGGCTTGTTTGCATTTTTATAGGATGCTCAGAGCAGGCCTCACTGACAGGGTGATATTTTGAAGAGTGAAAGGCGACCAGGAATCGGGTGCAACCAAGAATCAGGCACTGGATTAGCAACATCATAGCTACGTGGCAGCATGCTCAATCCTAAGAATCCCTTCTCAGGTGTTACTGGGCTCTGTCCGGGGCATCTGCGAATCTGCCTCCTCTGGGAAAATCCTGGGTCAACAGTGACAGCTGGGGAGGGCCGCACATTCCCAGGCCCTACACTCAGCGTTACATAGAACTTTCCGGTGCAGGCTTGTGCCTTCTGCCTCCTATCCCTCACTCTCACCCACCCTCACTGCTCCCTCCGGTCCCTCCTCATGGACTTCTCTCTTACAGGCTGATGACCAACTATGTGACCTTTGTGGTTGGGGAGCTTCTGCTTCTGGTCCTGACCGTCTGCTCGCTGGCTGCCATCTTTCCCCGGGTAAGCGGCCCTCTCCTTTCGGCTCAAAAGCCCTTGGGAAGTGAGCGTCACTCCCTGTGAAAGTGAGTATTGACGGAGTTACGCATCCTATCAAGTCCTTACAAACAGATGACAGATCTGTTAGAATGGTTCAGGACTATCCACTCATTCAGACTCCACAGTGAGTCATTCACTGACATCGCTGAGCACCCACTTGGGGCCGGGCTCATGGGCTCTGCCGCTGGAGCGGCATGAGTGTGTAAGCCGGAGCCTAGAGAAACGAGAACCTGTCCAACAGCCATGGAGGCCCAGCTGGAAGGTGGGTTGGCCCTGACTGTGGAGGACCTTGAAACCCAGAAAAAAGGACGAAGACTGACTTCTCTGAGCACTGGGGTGCATGCAGCATTTTTATCAGAATGACCAAACCAAAGTAGTGTTTTAGGAAAATTAATCTGGCAGGTGGCTTGCCAGGTAATGGAAGATTTTAGGTATGCCGGCCCGGGAAAGGCAGGCTAGCCAGGCAAAGATGGCTGGCCCTGACAAGTCTCCCGTCTTGGCCTTGTCACTTGGAGATAAGAAACGGGCTACTGCTGGCTAGTGCTGCCCGCAGCCTCCTGGGCTGGTCCCGTGTCTTCTGAGGAAAGGGTTCTGCTATCTGGGAGCCGTGACATTTCATAATGGAGGAGGGATAGAGCACCAGGATTCCTGCGCTCCCTTCTCCGCTCTGCCACAGTCAGGTTTGGCTGACTCGCACGCATAGCACTACTTTTTAGGTTCCTGGGAAGTATGAGAGCACCTGGAGTCCTTAGCAGTTGTCTCAAGGCTCATGGCCCTTGAAACTCATTTCCTTCTAGGCCTTTCCTAAGAAGCTTGTGGCCTTCTCGACGTGGATTGACCGGACACGCTGGGCCAGGAACACCTGGGCCATGTTAGCCATCTTCATTCTGGTTATGGCAAATGTTGTGGACGTGGTGAGTTCCTGCTGTCCTTGTGAAGGGACACTCCCATTAGTGGGAAAAGGCTTCCATACTGGCCAGCATGGGCAGCATGTCAAACCATTCCTCCACTCGAGACAGGTCTGGAGTGGCATTAGATTCCTAACTAGATCCTGGCAAAACAGAGGGGTCTTCTCCCCAGGAAAACTCTGAGACTGACCTGTTCCCAGCTCCTTATTCTCCAAGTTCAAGAACCAACACCATGCACCAGATCCCACCATGTGCTAGGTGCTTTATATATATTGGCTTACTTAATCTTTTTTTACTTTTCAACCACAGTTTACATTCATCACTTAATCTTGATAACAATCCCAAGAGGGCAGTATTATTAGCTGTAGTTCCATATGAAGAATTACAGCTCAGAAAGGTTAATTCACTTATTCTAAGTCACACAGCCAGTAAGTGACAGAGTCGAGAATTGAAGGTCTAAATCCCAATCCCATTTCCTTCTTACCTCACTGCCCAAGGGGTACAACACTCATAAGCGTTCCGCATATCTTGAGTATCCCCTGCACTGTGGGTAGGGTCAGGTATCTGTCACAACAAGGAGGCAGACCTCTTCCACTGAAGGACCTCTTCTGTTCTTTCTTCACCCATTTGGCCAGACCTTCCTCGAGCTGGGTCACTGGGGAGAGCAGCTGCAGAGCCCAAATGGCTGGAGGCAGACAAAGTCCTCTTCCTTGCTGCCCTTAGTTTATGGCAAAGCTTTGGCTCCTGTGAGGGGGTGGCCAGATGCTTTCTTGGGGTGGGGGGAGGAAAAGCAGTTGGAAGCCAAAAGTCTACTAATTCAGAGCCACCAGCCATTTATTGAGCACTGGGTGCTGGGAGCTGTGACATGTTCTCTTCTCTTGTTCGTCATCACAGCTCCCACCAATTTGGGGGGCACTATAGACGTTCTTTTAAAAAGTCCTATTTTTTCAAATATAATATTTTCTTTAACAATCTAAGCACAGGAAAAAACCCAGCATGGAGAGCCCGGCTAGAGTGGCTCAGTTTGTTGAGTGTTATACTTTGCACTGAAAGGTTGCTGGTTCGATTCCCAGTCAGGGCACATGCCTGGGTTGTGGGTTCGATTCCCAGTCAGGGCACACAAGTACAGAAGACAAACCAATCAATGTTTCTCTCTCATATATCTCTCTCCCTCTCCCTAAGCATATCCTCTGGTGAGGCTTAAAAAACAAAACAAACTCAGCATGGAGCCTTACTGTGGCAGCAATATAAATGACACAGCCTTAGGGCCAGCTGATCACAAATCCAAGGGAATGGAATTAGGAGCTCCAGAACCTAACATGCCCCTGGGTGGCATGGTGCTCACAGTGCAGGGGAAAAAAGCCCCACGGTTGTCAGAACACACCTGAAGGATGGTGCCGGTCCGGGGACCACTGTTTAACAAGGTCATGGACACTGTGCAGGATACCTGGAGATCCCGTCTCTAGTGGATGGTGAAAATCCAGGGGGTTCTGAAACTCGACATGCTGGAGTCCCATGCCGAGAACTTCCCCAAAGCCAGCCAAGCTCAGTGGGTGAAGGCTACAAAAAGTAGGATAGATTGTTTGTGGACGCACTTTCTACTGACTACATCTGCCCAGCAGTGGGACCAGTGACCCACTCCGAAATGGGGGAGCGTGGGAGCAGAGTGGCTGCCATCTGTGCAGTTGTGAGGTGTGGGTGATGAGCTGGCCCCACGTTCCCTCTTTAACAGTGTGATGTGGACAACAGCGTTACTAGATTTGAAACCTGAAGACTGGACTCCTAGCTCTGGCTTCCCCACTTGCTGATTGCGCTAGTTTGGGCGAGTCCAGCCTGAGTCTCTCTACAATGGTGGCAGTACTAAAAACACTCAGGGAGTTTTTGTGAGCATCCAAAGGGATGATAGTAAAGCTCTTAGTAGGAATTACATTTGTATTCTTCCTTGGTAAATTTCCCCACCCTTCTGGGTGTTTCTGAGGGAGCCAGGGAAGTGGCAGCTGAGCGACACCCCCACAACAGCCTTCTCTGACAATGTCTGCTGTTCCCTTGACCCTGTGTTCTTCCCGGGGCCCTGGCCTCCAGCTGAGCTGCCTGCAATACTACATGGGACCCAACAATGGCACCTCGGGGATGGCGACAGAGGATGGCTGCATGGAGAACCCCAAGTATTACAACTACGTCGCCGTGCTGTCCCTCATCGCCACCATCATGCTGGTGCAGGTCAGCCACATGGTGAAGCTCACCCTCATGCTGCTTGTCACGGGCGCTGTGGCTGTCATCAACCTCTGTGCCTGGCGCCCCATCTTTGATGAATATGACCGCAGACGTTTCCAGGAACACGGGTAAGATGACACTTGTTTAGGAATCTGGACTTTCTTCTTCCAACTCCTTCGTCCCCATTTCCAAGTCATGGCCCTCCACTGAGGTGGCTTTCTATCTCTAGGGAATCGGAGTTCAGGGCTGCTCAGAGACGTGCCTCTGAACCGCTGTGAACCTGGGGCAGATCTTCCCATGCTTGATGAGGGGAGGGTCTGGGCTGCCGCGGTGTTTGCCTGGGCACCAGCCTCTTGTACCCAGATGGGGCCTGAGTGTGCCATTATCTGTCCAACAGCGTTCCTCTGGTCGCCTTAGAGAAGATGCAGATACTCTCCACTCCAGGGCTCAATGGCACTGGCAGGTAAGGTGACTGCTTTCCCTCTGGTCCGCATTTTTGGCTCCTTTCCTCTAGACCAGTGGTTCTCAACCTTCTGGCCCTTTAAATACAGTTCCTCAGGTTGTGACCCAACCATAAAATTATTTTCGTTGCTACTTCATAACTATAATGTTGCTACTGTTATGAATCGTAATGTAAATATCTGATATGCAGGATGGTCTTAGGTGACCCCTGTGAAAGGATCGTTCGACCGCCAAAGGGGTCTCGACCCACAGGTTGAGAACCTCTGCTCTAGACTCTAGCCCAGGGGGGGGCACACTTTTTGACTCGAGGGCCACAATGGGTTCTTAAACTGGACCGGAGGGCCGGAACAAAAGCATGGATGGAGTGTTTGTGTGAACTAATATAAATTCAAAGTAAACATCATTACATAAAAGGGTACGGTCTTTTTTTTTTTAGTTTTATTCATTTCAAACGGGCCGTAGTTTGCCCACGGCTGCTCTAGACTCTAGAGACAGGGAATACTACGGCCAGAGCCTTACGACCTCAGCCTTGTAAAGGCACATGACCTGGGATGTTGGAGTAGAGCAGTTAGTGTGTGTTTCTCTAGGGGGGCTGGGTCAGAGGTGGAATGGTTTTAGTATGGGCCTGGTCATCCCGAGTCAGAGGGAAGCTTGGAGAGCAGCCACAGTGTGGTCTAGAGGTGGGGTGAGGGGGAGAGGAGTGAAATGGAGCCGCATTTAACGGGCCGGCAGTACAGACAGCAGAAAAAGGAGGAAAAAAGAACACTGCCTTCGACCTAGAAGACTTGGATTCTTAACCTGTCACAGTAATTTGTGGAGCAGCAGGCAGCCCTTTTTTTCTGAGTCTCAGTTTCATCTCTTTAAGAGGACAGTGGACAGGAAGCTCTCCAAGGTCTCTTCTAGCTCTCGTTTTAGAATGTTGTGACTCAGTGACTTGTCTACAATCAGGTAAGTTTTAACAAAAGATTAGAAGATGGGGAGAACTCTGAAATAGTCCTTCACACAAGAAGAAATCTAAATGGCCACTAATAAATGAAAGGCATTTAAGTAATCAGGAAATCCAAATTAAGACCATAACAAAAGACCAGTTTAGCAAGAATTAAGAAGTCTGATAATACCAAGTACAATGGTAACTCATAGATTCCAGCAATTCCACTGCTACACACATTCCTCAGAGAAATTCATGTACATATATTTGCCCCAGGATGTGTGCAAGAATTCATAATAGCCACACAAACATTCAAAACAAATGAAAACGATCCAAATTATATAAATAGTGAATGGTATATAAGTTGTAGTATATTCATGCAACAGAATACTATACAGTAATAAAAATGAATTATATAGCTCCATACAAAAATATATAGTTATAAAAAAAACATGGCAAAATTGTGCCCCAATGCCATTGCTGTGATGGTAGTCTGTCCTTTTGCCAAGCTCCTACATGCTTACAGTTACTTCTGGGATCAGATGATGCAGTGTTTATTAAATACCTGGGAGCAGCCCTGATGTGAATTCCAAGTGCAGCCAGGAGGCGCTAGGATTGGTTGGCTCTTAGTGATTTAAGAAAGCTTCACTGTTGCCCAATGGGAGGCAGTAAATGTGAAGGTGCTAAAGGAGCCAGGAATTTCTGGGACCCAGGGTGACAGGAAAGAGTGCATCCCCATTGGAATAAAACACCTTTTAGGAGAGCAGCCTGGGTGCCTTCAGTTGAATTACTCTCTGCCCTGCAGGCTGCCCCTGGTGCCTTCTAAGTACACGATGACAGTGATGATCTTCGTCATGATGCTGAGCTTCTACTACTTCTCCCGCCACGTGAGTGCCTGCACACCCTTCTCTCCTGTTTTGCTTACAACCCATCAGGGCCGGAGTAGTAGGATCTGAGAACCCAACCTCATAAGGAATGCTGGTTTCCTTTGCCCAATATGGCATGTGACCCTATCAAGCCACCACCTTATTCTTTTTCTGGTCTCTTCCTTCTGACCCACTCCAGGATGCTGAAGGAAGCAAGGCGGGGGGGGGGGGGGGGGGGGGCAT